AGTCCAGAGATACGCGATCGGTATGTGGCCTGGCATTATCTTGTTGGAAAATGGCCCCAGGATGACGTGCTATGAAGGTTAATGCAACCGGCCGCAGGATGGTATCAACATATCGTTGAGCTGAATTAAAGATGACCTACTGTCATAAGAAATAGCGCCCCTCACCATACACCAGGGGTTAAAGCTGTATGCCTTTGTAAAACAAACGTTGATTGGGACCGCTGGCCTCATCCTCTCCAGACACGAAGACGGTGGTCATCTGCTTCAAGAGTGAAGCGGGATTCATCGCTGAACACTATACGATGCCAGTCTGATGGCAGCCATAATGATGGGCTGCGACACCATTCCAGACGACTCTGCCGATGTTTTGGGGGTCAAAGGCAAACGTCTTAAAGGTCTCTTTGAGCGTAACCCCGACTCAGAGATGCCGTGCCGTGCGATGACGATACCACGGGAGGTATAGACGTGGTTGTAGTGTGTTGAATAGTCAATAATGATACCATTGGGGCGGTTCGGGCCTTGCGAACAATCATCCTATCCTCGCATTTGTGATCCTTGGCCTTTCAGAATCTTCATTTCGTCGGCAATTTCATTGTAGCAAACATTGCTGCCAACATCTTTGCACAGCAATATCTGTACGCTGTAGTTCTTGGTCCTTCTTGGTGCTTCGATTTTTGAAAAGAGTGTATGTTATTGAACATGAAGGCATGGTGATTATAAATAATTAATCATATTACATGACTGAATTAACAAGTATCTGATAAAGATTATGTTAAGAAATTCAATAAATATTTTAAATATTTAATAAATTTTAAACGATAATATTTAATAATAATTAATATTTAATAAAGATACAATATAAAATTATAATAAATAAAAATAATATCAGTACATTTGTAAAAAGAGGAGAGAAAGAGAAAATTATATCACGCCTTCCTTCCCTCTATATTGGTGTTGTCTATCTTTTCCTTCTTTATTACATTATTACTTTGTATGTTTAACAAAGGAACAATGGCTCCCGTTGACCAGTTGTAAACGCCATACAAAGACCTTTCCTTATAAATATCACCAGAGCATTCTCAACTACCTCTAAAAACGCCCTACAGACACTGGCAGGTGTGCTCCGGCTCCCAATCCAAGCACAAATGGATGCAATTCGCCCTCAATAGTCCTCCAACTCAAAGAAACAACTAACTTTAATGACACCACATTCCACCCAACAGACTATGAAGATCAGCCTAAAAAGTACTTTCATCACCCAGCTTTGAATCTTCAAAACCTGCACTGCATTTTTGACAAACCACCACCCACAACGGAATACACGGCTTTCACTGACGGCTCAAAGATCGAAAAAAAGGTTGGCAGCGCTGCAACCATCCAATATAACCTTAGCTCACACACAGAATGGCAAGAGCACCTTAGAAATCTAAACAGCGTGCACCAAGCTGAACTGACAGCAATCCTCTACAGTATGCAAGAGCTCCACCAACTACCAACGGACACAGTCCATATCGTCAGTGACAGTCAATCATCAATCTATGCTATTAAAAATTCCTGCACAAATTCACCAATAGCCCGTCAAATACAAACAATTATCAATTCCAGCCAAAGGAACTTCGTTCTTACATGGACGAAAGGTCATAGAAATTGCGCCGGGAATGAAAGAGCGGACTTCCTGGCAAAGCTGGCAGCCCTCGAACAGTCAGGCACTACCATCCACATCCCATGGCCACGCTTCACACTGAAGTTTACTCTAAAAGTGATGGCCAAAGAAGAGTGGAAGAGACAATGGGATCAAGGACTACAAGGCAGAAGAACGCATTCACTTCTCCCATGTGTCGATACTGAGCGCACCATTTATAATTATTATCTCTCTCAATATATCTCTGGTCATGGACCGTACCCAAAGTACTTCTATGAACGAAACCTTTCAGAGATTGAATTATGCGTTTGTGGCAATCCGGGTGATCCAGACCATTATTTATTTTAATGTCAAATAACAGAAGGCTATCATATTCGCCATCCCACAGCACCAGGAACAGACTTCAAACGCTTCTTGATAAAGCACCGGAAAATCCACATTAGTATCAAAAACATAATTGACACACTCCACCGTCGTGGCTTGGAACTGTGTGCTCCATAACTGTTTTAAGTGCTTCTTCTTCTCTGGTACGAACGCCAGTTTTCCAATGGGGGTGCCTTTATAGTCATTGCAATAGTTTATCTATTTAATGTATCAATTATTTAGTGTATCAATGTCAGTACAGATTTAGCACCTAGACAATACGACTACAGTTATGCACATTTAAAAAACACATTTAAAAAACACATGGCATAACTGGAACTGGTGAATTCTACTGTATGTATGAACTCTGACCCAATTCATGAACTGTCAATGAACTGTGAACCATCTATGAACTGCTACACTGTCCCAATAACATCACATTAATATCACAATAACTTAGCCAAGATAATAATGTTTAATGTTTTTCCATTCATTTCTTTTTGTTTATTTGTGTACATATATTTATATTTATAATTTCGCCATCAACTGTAATGTATGGTATCGTATTTGTAATGTCATTGTCAATCAGCAAATGTATATCCCGTACCACAAATTCTCTATACCCTAATGATTAACGTTTCAATTAACACCGATGTCTGGCGTAAGTGCGCCCTGTGGAGGTGTTCATCTCAAGACGGTTAGTGTGAAGGAGCGACACCAGTTCTGCCAATGGCGATGTGTTGGTGCTTCCCACACTTAGTCCTGTCCTGTCCTGGCTCCCGTTGACGAAGTTAACCAAAGTACCAGTCGAGCATGTTTTATCACTAGTAATGCTCTCATCCTTATGGCTGCGCATGTTGAGCGGATTACTTATAAATTGTTTCGACTGGTTTATTTTACTATCGCAAAGCACTCAGCTACCTGTCTAAGAAGAGGGATGCCTTCGAGGAGGACTTTCTAAGGAAAACTGGCTCGCATATACGTTATACATGAGGAAAACCACAAAAATTCCCATGCAGTTAGCCGTTCAAAGTCCAGACTAAACGATCAGTGTTATGCGGCTTAACCGCTCGGCCGCTGGTGGGCTATCAATTGCTTCGATAATTTCAGCATAATTATCTCTCCCTACAATGGAGTTCAACAAATACAGATAGAAAAGTAGGTGGTCAATTTAGTAAGAAACTATCACAATTTCAGTTTAGACTGCCTCTTTGATATATAATTCGCTTTATATAGTGTAAAGGACATACATTCAATTCCTTTAAGTAAGCTGCCATATCAACTGAAAATTCTCCAGGTAGCTCTCATTTTCAAATTCAGTATCGCATATGCTCACTATTTTTCATTCCTATTCAGTTATAGGTCTCAAGCCACATCAAAGTCTTAAAGGATTGCGTGAAAATGACAGGTTAGACATCATTGTTTTAAACATTAATGAATAAGTAACTAGATGCAGCATTTTAGGCATATAGTATTTTGTTCACTCAGTTAGTCACTGCTTAAACCACAAGTTCAATTTTACTAATAATCTAAACAAAGTTACTGAGATGGTTCTGATTCCCACCTTATACAATCACAGTTTACTTTACAGAACTCAGGTTAGCTACAGTCAGTTACCTTTTGTATACCAACCATTTAGTATAAATATGTTATTTCTTGATAGGAAGTCTTGTACATACTATATACAAAAAGAAACATAGTAATAGGCCAAGAGTTAAAAATAAATTTTTTTAACTAGCCCTGCGCTGTAGCTGCAGGATTGAAGTAAATTAAATTAAAAGCACAAATTTAAAATTAAATAGGAATCAAAGCAAGGCAATTCCTCACCACTATTCATAATTGTAACCGTGGATAATAAGTTTAACACTGTATCTACAGCATATCAAAATTAAAATAAGAATTCATCGGTGGAACAAACTCGGAAAATAGAAATGCTAAAATAAAAAATATGCAAAATTAAAAAAATATAAAAATATAAAAATTAATCTCCTTTTACTGAAACTCCAATTCAGAACTCATCAGGGGGAAATGAATTAAGGTTTTACAAAAGTCGATTAATATGTTTCGAAAGCATGTTTGGTTCTTCTGGTTCATTTGAGATCAAAAACCGTAAAAGGTTCAGTTAAATTTTCATTTAAAGCATTAAAATTCATTTCAAACCGAAAAAACGAATCTCAAATATATTCATAAATTTCCGTTCACACTTTCGAAACACTTAAAGAAAAGAATAAAACTTAAAGAAAAGAATAAAAGTATATGATAAGATTCAAAGTGTCGAATAACAATTCAAAGTATTTTAACGTGTGACCAAAATGTCCTATCCTGTTAAACACTGTGTGCGGTCATTATTACCGAAGAGGAGCGTGATTGTCAACTTCAAAATGCCGGCGGAATATTCTTAAAAGTTATTGTCCTTTGTAAAATCTTAAAACACGAAAACAAAAATATAAAGCAGATACTGAAAAAATGAAAGTTTTTGTCTTTTATCAGGTAATCTAAATAACAGAACACTGGTCTTCTACTTCGATGGTCCAAAGATCCAGTAACTGTACTTTAATTGTTGTTGTCTACCAAAATAAAGTATCCGTAAATTTAGATTTCATTGAAGCATTTTTCTAACTGCATAAATTTTATTGAATCAAAATAGAACACAAGATTCTTTTCCTTTTCTTTCATTAAAGTCTATATGCCATTCTCTTACAAACGGATTTTCCATTTACGAAATTCTTCAATTCTTCAAATAATGGAGAGGCTACGGTTCTGGTTAATTATATGTACTTGGAATTTTATTTTAAATAGTTTTCATAACATTCGAATTGCTTGAAATTCGTTAATTTAATGCATAGGTACGTGTTCTGTATCAGCTTCTAGACAACATAAAACACAAACTTATATACGAACTATAAATTATGCCTGAATTTAATTTGTTTGTAAGGAGCATGTTTCTATGAAATGAGGAAATGTAATTTCCAAAGATAGATTTTTATTTTCTTACCTTCTTCCTGGGTAATAGTTTCCACTGGCTTAGTCGCTTCACTTCGGCCTATACGGTTTTCCGCCAGTATTCGGAAGAGATAAATTTTAGCCGGTTTTAGACCTAGAACTATTCCAGATGTTTCGGTTCCACTTACTGTAACGTTCGACATCCTGTTGTGCCATTTACCTGAAAGAAAACGAAAGTAAAATTATCATACATTCAGTTATCCTTCGCTAAAAATCAAATTACATCCCTCTTAAATGTTTAATCGAGACGCACCTGAGGCTTAAGAGATTTCTATAGTATAAAGTCATGGAGTTTAATTTGACAATAATGACGTTCTTGCTCCGAAAGGTAGTACCAAACGAGTGCAAATATCTTCATTCGGTCTATTCAGTTTTAAACTGGTAGTTCTTTAAGGAGCGGCTGTTCGAAAACTCAGACAAATAGGTGTATATCTTGTGGCTAAATATGTAGCAGGAAAATATAACTGCAAATCTAATCCAGTAGTGTTCAGTTAAATGTTAATTTTTGCTTAGCATTCTTTTATTTTTTTAAATATTTTTTACTTTCAAATAGTGTTCAGTTTCAGTTCCTTATTATTAGTAACATTTACGGAATTTTATGATAACTTACATATTAAAAGGAAGTTTCTCCCAGATTCATTTTTCCAGAAAATAATACTTTAAAGTTATATAATATTCAAAAGAATTTCAAGCTCAATATATTGTATTCCCTTGTATTTTTGATACGGATTAAATCACAGTTTTATATTACCCAATAAATATTATGATGCTCTTTTGCTTATAAAAAGTATGTCTAATATTTCGCATAAAAACTGATAATATTTTCTAAATCTAATTTCATCCGAAATACTTTGTTATTTTTGAGGAAATCATCAGATACCTTATTTCACAATAATAATTTAATGTTATACTCGAATAAAATACTTAATTCGCTATTTAATATTATTCATTTGTAATAATACTCATAACATTACTCATAATGTTATATTATTCAGCTATACAATTTGGATCATCAGTCGTATGAAAACTTATTTTTCATCTATTGTATAATTAATATAAAGTTGCATACTCAAATATATATTGAAATAAAAGTTTTTTGTGTTAGGGATTAGAATTATCAAGAGAATGCGAAAAAACTCCTTTTTGACAATGCCTGTAATAATTGGCATGAAGCGGAAGTACTTGAGACCCAACCCAGCTTTTGACGATCAGAAGCAATGTTCAGAGTTAACATTAAGCAAATAAACTTAATGCAATGTTAATGGTTTACCTGATATAAATAATATTGTCGACGGCAGACAGTACTGAGATTTGCTGTTATGCAGTAGATACTATTAGGATATTCAAAGCATGATGTAAGAAAAGTCAAAACGTCCTCTCTAGGATTCGAACCACTGATCTTCTGCTTACCAGGTAGAAATTCCAATAACTTGTTACCGCACGAAGAAACATGGGAGAGGGATGTTCTCACATATAACGGACGATTAGGATTACCAGTTAACCAAGTCTTGGTGGTGACGAATTATCGTTCACCAAACGTTTAGTATAGAGCCCGCTAGTATATAAGCATTCTCGTACCGCGCCGCGCGAGTATGTAAAACTCTCCGTCGTTGTGAGTGACATACTTTCCGGTGATATTATTTTCTCTAAGTTTGGAAAATGACGACTAGATGGGAATTTTATGGTTTTGTTTTCGGTGAAGGATGAGCATGAGTGACACGAATGTGTGATATCTATCGTTTGTTGTCTTTGAATAATAATGACAGACGAAAACCATTACATCCAGCTTTCTGCAGATAGCCTTCCTGGTTCATGGAATAATACAATTATAAAATCTTCCAAAGATTCTGATGATCTCAGAAGCAGTGCTTAGAAGATACATATCTGAGTTTACGAATTTACGGCAAACACATTAGGTTACACGACGATCTGTAAAGGCATTGTCTTATTAATATATTATTAGTATTATCTTATAGTATATTTGTGAAGTTCCTTCCCCTGATGAAAGACGAAGAACGGAAGTGACTTACCCCGGAAAAACCGGTCGAGGCAGGCTGGTGGGGGGAAGAAAGACTGGACGGAGAGGGCACTGGGAGTTGGACCGGCGAGCATGCCGTGTGAGAACGTAGAGAAAAGAAATATGTTTTAATTTCTTTTGCGCGCCTTGTATATATATATTGTATATAGTTTATGTTTACAGTGTACTTCGTTGTTATGGTGTATCCAATAGTGCAGTTTGTGTAATAAATTAGTGAAGAAAATGTCAAAGCGGACAACTGTTATTTTCCCACTTATGGTAAGTTTACACAGAAGAACCCACCTCAGTGTTTGAACGAGCGCGAGGCATGACAAATGTCGCAGTCCGTATAGGATAGTGGGAAAAAAAAAAGAAATCACCAAAAATATGAAGGAAGTAAGATCGTAAAAAGTGATTTGAGTGAACGTGGTTTAAATGAAGGAAATAATTCACGAAAGCAAGGAAGGTGACAAAAGATGGTCATGAAAGACGGAAAGTGGCGCGCGTAAGCCTACACGTGCAAATAAACGAAAGGGTGTATGAAACCTCGTCGTGTGAAAACTGATCATCAGTATTACCGTGGTGATATTATTAATTGAAATGTTCGTGCAGTGTTGAAACAGTGGCTGGTAAAAGTGATCATCCGTATTACCGTGGTGATATTATTAATTGAAATGTTCGTGCAGTGTTGAAACAATGGATGTGTGAAAAGTGATCATCAGGGGTATTATCGTGGTGATATTATTAATTGAAATGTTCGTGTAGTGTGGTGGAAACCAGTGGTGGTAAAAGTGATCATCAGTATTACCGTGGTGATATTATTTAATTGAAATGTTCGTGCAGTGTGGTGGAAACAGTGTGATGGTAAAAGTGATCATCATCAGTATTACCGTGGTGATATTATTAAGTGAAGTGTTATGGCAGCTGCGATGAGGAAATTGTACAGAATGAGAGCACAACTCGTCATTTTCTACTATCGGGATCAAAGGTAAGTCCCTCTTAATTTCTTGGGAAGCACAATATATAAATGAAGAGAGCTCCCTCCCTATAATTACTATAGTAACGGAGAAAATTCAAATTGTGTGTTAATGTCGGTTAATAACATGATGAGAATGCCAGGCGTTAAAGCCAGTAGACACTTAGAAAGTATATTTTATATGCAAATAAGGAATTATGATTAATTTTGTTATTAAGGAGATAATGTATGCTAAATGAATGTTAAAATAGTTCAAAAATATGTCAGCAGAAATTTCGAAACATTTAATTGTGTGCTCATGTTACTAATTAAGGTAGAAATTATCTATTTTTGTTGTTGCCGTGTTTTGGCAAAATGTTTTAGTCATTAAAGTTAATAGGTTGATTAAAAATTAATTAGTTTTAAGGATTTGAGAACAATAAGTAAATGTTTTGTTTCATTTCCAGAATATGTAAAGTATTACGGCGTAAGGCCAAAGTATTCAGAACTATTTTTTGTACTAATTCAAAAGCTAATATAATTTTTGGTATTTATGTGTTAACAATATATGGTGAAATATATGTTAATAGTAATATAATGTTATAGTAATATGAAAAGGTATTCATGATTGTGTTCACTAATGATAATGTTTGCTAAATGAATAATGGTAGTATTCAGTACTAGTGAAATATGTATGTTTGCCTGTAAAATTAAGTGTTATTTATGTGTTGTATGGGTAAAGCTGTGAAAAGAAATACCAGAAGTTAATATGGGTCCTAAAAGGAGAAATAGGGGGTCAGAAGAATCTGATGAAATTATTAAGAACATGCACGCTCAAATTAAGTTAAAGGAAATGGAGCTGCAGCTAGAAAGGTGTAAGTTAGAGGCAGATGCGGCTAAAGACCGATTAAAAGAGATGGAATTTCGGGAAAGACAATTAGAGAGAGAACACGAGATAAAAATTAAAGAATTAAATTCAGAGTAGGAAAATAGATAAAGGAGGAAATAAATCCGGCTCAGAGGATGAAGGGTTTCAGATGCTGAGAGCAAGGGAAAATGATTTCTTGAAACATTTAAAAATAATGAAAGGAGTTATGATTGACCCGCCATCTAAAGCTGAGGAATGGCCTTTCTTTTTCCATCATGCGGAAATGATGTTTAATCTATATAAAATTCCTGAAGAAAAGAGTAAAATTATTTTGCAGAGTTTAAAAGCCAAAGTTAAAAGTTTGATCTCAACTCTGGGTGAAAAGGATTTGGATAATTATATTAAGAATTAAAGATACAGTATTAAAAGAATTCCAGATTACCCCATTGCAACATAAAAAGAATTTAGAAAAATGTGTAAAAAGATATGAGGAAACTTATACTCAGCATATAGCTAGGGTTTGAGGCAGCACTTGATTTCTATTTTCTTAGAATCCAGAAAAGTTAAGACTTTTGATAAATTAAGAGAACTATTGATTGTCGATCAAGTAAAAGATCAATTACCCGCAAATGTTAAGGCGCATATACTGTTAAAAAGAGGTAGAAAACTGGTTACCTCTCCGTCAGAGCTTGCAAATGAATTTGGATAATTACGTTGCAGCAATGCCTAGAAATTACAATACGAGTGCTCAGGAAGTAAATAAAAGTGGGACCAAAACAAGGAACCGATAAGACAAGGGGAAAAATTAGGACGACCAAATAAGAGTAAGGGGAATTTTCAGTTCTGATTACAGGGTTGATAAGGAGAAGTACAAAGGGGCAAAAACTTTAGAACCTCAAGGAATGATGCAGGCAAATAAGAAAGTTCTAAAATGTTTTCAGTGTCAGGGTGAAGGACACATAAAGCGTTTTTGTCCAGCGATAAACCTGATAGCGAAACCCAAGAGAGGAAGCGAAAAAAGAGGATACGGATGAGGTGGAAGCAAAGGGATTAAATAAAATATGCGTAGGTTTTTGAAGTTAGCTAACTATGCAAAGAAAATTCCGTTAACTAGGGCAAGTGGGGAATTACCTAGGATAGAACTGCAGATAGGCAACGCTAGATTCAAAGGAGTGATTGATAGCGGAGCAGAAGTTTACTGTAATCCGGAAATCGGTAGTTCCACAGAAATATTTGGAGTCTGGAGGGAAGATATGGTTACAACCCGCCGTGGGACCCCAGGTAGAAGCCCAATTAGTTACAGTACCTATCAGTATCTGG